ACTGAAGTGCTAGCGGACCGTTGGATCTGAACTATCGCGGAACTGTTTACCGTGGTCTCTCATGAACGACTTTCTCTCCGCCGTCACCCCGTCTGCTGTAGAGCTGTCTCCACGCAGGAAGGTTTTGACCGTTGCTGCGATTTGCACTGGCGCGAGGGCGCGGCAGCGTGCCGGACGACCGGCGCCCCCGGCAGGAGAAACACGGTCCATGAAAACTCTAATAGCATAGTTATGGCGTCTATGTCTCGCAGCTACAGCTGACCAAGGGAGCTACTCGGTCCACTGTTGTAGCGACAGTTGACAAAGGGACCCTACTGTACTATCTGTCACTGACCGTGCCTGGCGTGCCTGGAGTGAGGCTAGATCAATTGTGACCCTGGCACGTTCTGCGCCAACATGCCATAATTAGCTGCCCATAGATTTGCGATGTAACATGACCAGCTGGCAAGCTGAAATCCTGCCTGTCCATGATCTTGTTTCATGGGCAACCTCCGCCACGGTACTTCCCTCTCCTCCCTTAGGGGTGCATGTCATTTCGAGGTTTTAATTTCAGGCTGCCAGGGGCATGCGATAGTGAGGCTTCCCCCGACAGCATTCATCTTCCATTGTGTGGTGTTTCAAGGCTGCGAAGGATGGGCATCCCCTCAAGTCCCTGGCGACCGTGATGCAATGGATGCACCTTTTGGGTCGATCGAGTCTGGAGATCTGGGTAGCGCGGCGATCGTGAGAGAAAAATCTCCGCTTGGGAATGGAAAAAGCAACTCCGAGTGCGGCAGCTTGTCAAGGTCGTCAGACAAGACTGTGTGGGGAAGCATCTTAACTGGTGATTGGCTATGTGCTGTCGTCCCCCACGCCGTTAGTCAATTCCGGATATCACCGTGTCTATACTCTTCGTCGAGTTCGTCTAGCATCAGCTCGACCAGATTGAGCATCTCGTGACCCAAGGCCTACAGGACTGTGACGGCCATGAGCCTCTTCCCCTGCAGCACACCAAGACCGACTCGTCATATTATGTGGGAGGCTTTTCTGTGGTGGTATCAGAAGCCTGCTCTTCTTGCGGCCAGTTTTATTCTGTTGTACCATGACAACTTATCTTCCACGTTCACCAGGCTTATGAGTTGGAGACTGGTCGCTCGGGGAGATGCTGTGTACGTCAGCAACGTTGACAGGCTGACTGGTTCCCGGGAATTCGGTCAACCCTTCAGCTCTCGGCATCTGTCGAGCGTCATTTACCATGCCCCTGGGACCCGGGAAACTGGAAATCCAGTGGTGGAAAAGATAAGCGAGACTGATTGAAGTGCGCGTTTTCTGTTTGCAAGGGCACCAAATGCCGGTCTTCCCCTTGGCTACCACCCGTGCGAGAGTCCCCATTTCATGTGCCGGGGAAGCACCCAATCAATAATCAGGCTATGGAACCGCCCGTCGCGTATCCAGTCTGCTGGAACCATGACTAGGGGCCCCTGGCCCGTCAAGGATGCCTGCAGCTGGAGGATTGTCAATAAGATGCGATCTTATCCATTACGTCCACCTTTGTCAATAATAGAGGACCGGTGCCCTATTTTTGCTGGAGCGCGCCACGCAGGCTGAGGACTACTTGGCAAAGGTGTGTGGCTGTTCTTGTGGAATATGATCAGTCATACACACCATCATTTCCTCGTCTGCACCTCGGACTCCTCTATCAAAGATGCGCTAACTCAACTGAGAATACCCTGTGTACTTGAGGACAGAGACCTTGATCTGGTGCGTTCAGACCGCGATGGGTATGTTACATGCGCATTGCAGAAAGGTTGCTGCCCTAGGGTTAGCATTAAGCACGCAATTCCTAGTTCGTCGGAAATCGCTCATGTGAGAATCGAAATCATGGCGGGTGCGGATGGCAACTAGATTAGCAATGATGTCGAGAGAGCAGACCCAAAGCCTCGGGGCACACCCTGGAAACAAGGGCGGTCTTCCCGTAGTGGCAGACAGAGTGACCGACAAACTGGGTCTGTAACATTACTTCGACTGTGGCTTGCATGGGAACCAGCGTCATGGGTACTTTAGGTAGGCACCACGAACTGGTCCTGGATCAATTGATACGGCATCTACTGAGGTCGTATCACCTAGGCACAAGCCCATCTTGGGTGACGTGACTCAATGGACGTTTGTCGTCCCAGTTCCTCGGGACCACGATCTAGGTTAGAAGCTTGGCTACCGTAATACGAAACGCAAGGCCAAAGGAAGGCAGGCTCCCAGGAAAATACTGTGGCATCTCGGCCGAGCTCAAAGGTGCGAGCCCGACCCCTCTCTAAGGGAGGGAGAGACCTACTGCTCAACACTCTCAGCCTTCTGTCACTAGTCTCATCGACAATGCACTCCCGTGACCTGCTCTAGGCTCAGGCCGACCCAGAGCGTCGGATCACAATGTCATGGAGGACCCGATAGTGTGGTAGGCCTGGGTTGTCGCCAGGGGTTGCAACCAAGCTTATTTTCTGTGCCTCTACCTTAAGCACTGCGTTACACAGCACCTTCTAAGTGACAGTCAAGATTTGCCCGAGAGATCTTGCACCATTAGCTATAAAGTGCGGGCGGAGGCGTAACGGGCGGGTCGCGCAGCTACGGAAGCGGTCCGTCGGCTGACCACCTCCGTCTCTGACTATTCCCATGGAGACTAATGCAGTTTCTCTCTGTGGCCTCCGAACGGTCAGTTCTGCATACCCTTATAAACTTCTCTATCATCCAATCGGAGACAGAATTATCATACTACCAGCCGTTGAAAGCCAAACATCAGAGACAGAGCCGTCGATCACCAAATGGCACTCGAGGAAATTTGAGGCACTCCCCGTGGGCATCCTATGGTCAACTCGGGCGGGGTTCGAGGTAGGCCGCTCTCCACACTAGGACGACGGCCAATGGCATATAGGAACGCGATCTTAGCTCGTGATCCGGTGCATAGGGAGACCTCGCCCAGAGAGGGAGGCGCCGCCACGATTGTCCGCCATACCTACGCACATTACTTACATACAAGACTTCACACGCAGCTCAGATTTACTGGCTTGTATCATTGAGCTGTAACCCACAATTTTCCGCGAAAGCCCGACCAGTCGCTTTTGTTCGACATGGAAGGACCCATGATCTTGTGTAAGAAGCTTGAAACCAGCTCTTCTTTACAAATAGAACAAGAGCCGGGGACTATGCTGGACCCTTGAGAGCTTCCAAGGAAGCATACAGTCCTTGCTTTGATTCGTCAATTGAAACCCCATGATCCTTGTCGGCTGGCTCTCGATCCCCACTCGAGCCACTTCCTCATCTTCCTAAGCTTCCTAAGCCCAAAGGCGCCCAAACAAGACAGCAAAGCCCGTTCGTTCTTTGGTCAAGTTGGTCGTGCTGGTCTGCAGTGGGAGTGAATCATGTATCAAAACGTTTGTAATGCATACCGTTGGGAGCCAGGAGTGTCTCTACTTAGCTTATCTGCACAGCATACATACTGTATGGCCCCAAAGCTCTGGCATCGACGCGGTCTCTAAGCATTCTCTTGACGAACGAACCCCAATCCATGGTGTCCCAATCACTGAAGCAGAGAAGCACATGCGCATCTGGGTTGAAGCCCGGGGTCTCTCATCCGCAAATTGGGCCACATTTGGTAACAAGGAGCATCGCTGGAATATCGAGCCATTTCTGCAAGTCGGTCTGTTATTCTTTTTTTTTCTTCCATTCCGTCTAATGAAATGGGCACCCAAACTGGGGTCTCGAGGCGAAGCTGTACAGTACGCACGTCGATAGGTATTCCCGTCAAGCCCCCGGGAATTGGAAATACGTAACTTGGGTACCCTTGAAAAAGCCATCATACTTAGTGTGCGGGAACTTGGAGGTCCGGCTGCTGATCTACCTCTAGCCGCTTGGGGACCAGGGGGTTGAAGTCACTCTACGCCCCGTGTGTCCCTAGGACCATGGAACGACTCAGCGGGTTCAGCAAGGGTTCCCATGTCTCACCAACCCGCCCCAGAATCCTCACTATGTTTTCAGGTCAACAGCCATCTCTGGCATTCTAGCCTTTCGCAAGCATGGTCGTCTCGCTTATCGTCATCAACAAGGCACTGGTGACAATAGGTAGGCCCTCTTCCTGCGTCACCCACACCCACTCACGCCCCTGTCTCAATCCCTGTGTGTCTCTCCCGCACAAAGCTCATACGCTGTGGATTTCGTGTCGATGGAAACATTCAACGCGGAGGACCAGGATGCAAAGATGTTCATCTTGGGAAGTAAATCTTTTCTGGAGAGTCTTGAAGAGAAACTACGCTGGTTAGGGTACGTCTGAACTGCCCAGTGAAGTAAACCTGCTATGTGCGATCCATGACAGGTCACACTCGCAGGCGGGCATCTTCCGGACTAGCACTTATTGGTGTCTCGACCTGTCACTGAGTGTCATGGTGGGCACAAAGCTCAAGCCTCAAATAGAAATGTCGCTCTACTGAGAGGTAACTACGTACCCTCCCTGCCCTCTGCAGCTACAAGGGTTCAGCGGAAAACTGAGATCTGAGAGGTACTCGACCAGCCTACGCCTCAGAACTAAGCATCCATATACAACATCAAATGAAGTCTCTGGGACCCGCAATATGGCTTGCATAGTATAGCGAGATCTTCCCGGGTGGCAGCCCAATTGGCTCATCGTAGCTGACTTAATCCTGGTGCCCATCTTGGTCGTACGGCGGTATACATATGAGTCCTTCCCCAGATCTGCTTCCTTCTCTTGATTCACTTGAACCCATCTGCCCAAAGATCACTCCAGACTCTGAACACAACCGTTCTCCGAAGTCTGACCATCACTTTTCCTTTTCTTATCCGTTGGCATTTTGTTTTACTGTTGTACTCTTCGCTATCGAGTTCTTGAGACTGCTCAGCAAGACAGTCGACTTGGGGCGTATATACTGTTATTGTCATCAACTGTTCTGCCGCGCCTTCATGAATCGATAGCCTCACCAAACTACTGACGGTATCCCACCTGGTTCGGAATATTCACAATGACACAACATCCAGCTTCTGCAGACTGGGGACGATGGCACGGCACGTACCAACAGAGTGCTGACTATACACCAATGGACGCCTCTGGACTTGTGCATTACGGCTCAAGTATTCCAGTTTCGGCTCCTCTTCAGCGGGCACCCCACGAACAGTATCCTATGGGGACGACGTACAGCATGGCTCCTGTCCCAAGTTTGCCCCCCCAGAACACGTTCGGTGTGCACGCATACGCACCAGCGTCGCCAAATGGGATGGTCATGCCGCCATATCGGTCCTACACCGAGAGCCACTCACCTCTCAGCGACAGGAGTCAAGAAATCTCCTACAAGCGCGATCCGCAACCTGTTTACAGGGAAGATTCAGGACACGCTCCTCCCACGATGAAGTACGAGGTCCAGCAATTAGCTCCTCAACGTTCATTACCGCTAGAAACCAAGCCAAGCACAATCCCTGACGTGGCAAGCCCAGCTGTTACCAAGCCTGAGCCAGTAAAGTACGAGAATGACAGTCCTGTCGATATTATGATGAAGGCCATCCAGCGCGGAGAAGACGAGGACGAGGACGAAGCGGATAATAACTCGGAAACGGGAATGCACACGCCTTCGTCCAGTGGTGGATCGAGGCCACCAAGCCCCAAACCCAAGTCTTGCAAAACAGTCCGAGGGAAGAAGGAGAAGAGAGTCAAATGCCCCTGGCCAGGTTGCAAGCAGCGATTTGCCCAAACAACGCACACAACCATCCACATGCGCACCCACACGGGCGAACGGCCTTTTGTAAGTACCACACCCGCTCTAGATCGTCGGCGCCGCCTCTGACTGCAGCTGCAGGTTTGCAGATGGGAAGGATGTAAAGCTGCGTTTTCCCAAATGGGCAATTACAGGGTAAGTCGAGCTTATCATACGTCGAAGAGGGGAAGTTTCTGAGTTACTACAGACCCATTTCCGACGACACACACGAGAGCGACCGTACAAGTGTAACCTCTGCGACAAGGCCTTTGCTCAGAGAGGAAACCTCGGAGCCCACAAAGCGGTGCATGACCCCAACAAGAGGTTTCACTGTCTGATTGACGGCTGTGGGAAGCCTTTCAGCCAAAGAGGTAATCTCAAGGTTAGCATCAGTTCTCCTAGCCATCCGTCTGGATGTATTAGCTAAAGCTGTGAATAGTCCCACCAAAACAAGTTCCACAAAGAAGCAGTGGAGGCCCTAGCCAAGAAGTTCGCAGAGGCGTCAGTCGAAGACCTGACCGATCCCCAAGAACGAACCCTCTTCAACCACTTCAAGGACATCTACCGAAACATGAACAAGGGGATAAAAGGTCGCGGCAAGGGCAGGACCATCAACGGCAAGCGCGCGTCCAAGTCTCCTGCTCTCCAGGTTGACTGTAGTGCGTATCCGGCCCAGCAGCGAACTCCCCCCTTGGAGCACACCGAGCCTCAGCACTTCTCGCAGATGCAGCACTACCCGCAGCATGGTCTGCCGCAGATGCAGGCCTGGAACTATTCCATGCCTCGCGACAGCTCCTACAACATGATGATTGACAGAGTTCCTCGCGGCTACGAGATGTACGAGATGGACCAGGAGAGCATGTCGCGCGGCAGTGCCACCGGTACCCTGGGGACTCCTGCCACCAGTGTGTATGACGAGGACCACAGCCGCGGCCTAGCTTTCCGCGAACGTTTGTACTAACGACGACCGAGGCGCTTGCTCTACCACACACGCAATGACGACTCTCACGATCACGACACCAATGGGCAATGAGCTTCTCACGCTGACGAAATCTTTTCTCGCGCTGAAGCCCGCCCCAACGGCAAATGACAAGTATATACGCTGCCAAGCGTTTCTTTTGCAAATACCCCATGACTGAGGTTGACACGATCTTTCTCTTACACGTTTTCACGACATAAAATCTTAGATAAGGAGTGGCCCCTTTCACGATTTTGCCCTTTAGCACTCTGCTGCTGTGGCTTTGCTATCGTCCTTTTTTTTCTCTTTCTATTTATATATCAACAAGAGCAACACAAGCGAAAAGTCACCCAAACCGCGGGTTGATATCAGCGGTTCTGGAATCGGAAAGGAGCAGTTGCCACTTGCTCTTACAACCCAACGAAATTCATGCTGGTGTTTGACGACAAGAGTGCAAAACGGCGTGGGCCTTTGATTCGCCTAAAGGACATTTCACGGACTCGGCGGCAAAGATCTCTGAATTTACAAACACAAACACATTCACACACACAATCAACGGTTAGGTGGCTTTCTGATGAAAATGCATTTACAAGTAGTGCGCGCTTAGAGGCGTCATAGAGACGGGCCGCGGCGGTAAAACATGAGCCGAGTTTTCGGCGGCGAGTGATGGGAGAGGCTGTCTGAACAAATCTTTTTGTTTTTCTTCCTGCTTTGTTTTCCTGTATTTTGCGGTTTGGTCTTGGCCTATGCCAGACTAGTCAGTTAACCACTGTACGTCGGAGCTCTGCTTTCTAATACGGATATCCAAAGTCTGTTATTTACTTCGGCTCGGCAAGTCTGTTTTTCCACCCTGGCTACCCCCATCTTTTCTGTCTGGCTCTCTGCGGATGTAGCCTGGCAGGATATCCACTACGAATGCTATGTTATCGGGACCGATGGCCTTGCGACGTGGCCAAAGGTGATGGCCCAAGGGGTATTGCAGAATGCGAGGCATCAGGGATCTGGGTTCTTGTGGGATGGGGAAGGTGGAAGCGGTCCTATATTCAAGCGACACTCGCTTGTTACCGCAGCTCTGGACTCGGGCATAGTTACGTTTTAGCGGTCAAGGAGGAGTTTGGTATACCAGTCAGCATGTCGGGTTTCTAGACCCTGGGATCATGGAGTTGGGCGCAAGATTATTTGGGCTTAGCAGAACCACTAGGCTTCCTTGCATTCGCAATGGCACGGGGTGCCTATAGCTAGCCACTATCGCAGGAATACGTATATGGAAAGGTAGCCTGTCGCTTCCGACGTGAAAATCCACGGGGCTTGCACGAGACCCCTCCATACACCGCAACGTCATACTTGAGACACTCCTGAACATGCGCTAGTGATAATCTGTTGGGATCCAGGCTGTAGGAACGGAGACCGATCCGATCGTCGAGGCCTGCATCTACCCACTATTGCCCGAAGCTACCGGTGACGGCTACCCGGTCACCAGGACTAGACAGGGCCAGGAGGGCCTGACCCAGCCTTATCGAGGGCGGTTAGTAGCTCGGGGCTTATGCAAGTGTTCGATCACGGAATGCAGGTGAAAGCGGAGTTGCTGCGTCCAACGGACCAGGTGATGCCCTCTCTTCATTTTCAACGGTAATTTCACTAAAGGCCCCTTTCAGCTTTAGCAAACCCCTAGAGATGCAAGGATCTATTTCCAGCCCGCCACGGCTATCCAGGGGAGAACCAAGTGCCATAGGTGGCCACGGAGGGCTGGGTGGTCGCAGGTCCCAGCCTGCCAGCCACTCGCAAGATTGTTCTTACACTCGAAATGCATTATACTTTCCACAAAACAGTAGATCATTATTTAGGGCGGACTCACATTGCCACGGGAGTTTGTCAAGGACAAGGCTGCCTCGTGTTTCTCACCGCCCTAATAGGATATGCACATTGCAAAAGTTCTGGAGGGCGCGTTCTGGCGCTGATTGGCCCAAAACAGCAGCATAACTGCATGATTTATGTAGAGTCAAATACTTCACCGCCAACGGCATACCTGCCCCAACATTCGCTTCACACATAGTCATCTCCCTGGCAAATCCATTGCCGAAAGCCTTCTTATCTACAGCTGCACCTGCACCAGAGCCTATGGCCTGACAGGCCAAGCATACACTGGCCTTGGATTTACCCCCCTTCTACATACGGGAGATCGATAGGGCGCGGGATCAGCCGGGGCGCCGTCAAATATGAGACGGGCGGCGGTAGTCGCATGCAATGACACACTGTCTTTCATAACGGCATCGCCTTGCCCAAACCTGATCGAGAGTGTTTCAAGTGCGGCCGCTGGAAAGACACCTCCGAGCGTTGTAACTGTCCAGCATCGCGTCGGATACCGGGCGACCTGGGCCTTGGCCAGGCGCAGCCCATCCCCCCATCCTTCGTGCCTTCGCGTCCACAGACAGGCCGCGATCATTCGACGACGCGATACCAAAACATGGCTGGACTGGCTGCAGGAGCTAACCACCATGCAGCGTCGAGACGAATAGAATGTTGTCACCATTCTGAATCTCATAGGACTCCTCTCCCTCCAATTCCCAGTCCGCATCGTTGATTAAGACAAGGATTCCTGGCCGACTGTATGTCCCGTGGTTAGCCTCACTTGCCACACTCGCGCGCAGAGATGGGCAGCAGTCGCCCCGTATGCAACGCCCCCAACGGGCAACCGAGATGGGGGCCGCGAGCCATTGGCCCACAACGGGCGTGAAAAGGGACTTACAGATGGTCCTCGAGCACAAACAGCTCCTGGCGGCTGTCCTTCATCGTGTTCCGGCATAGGTAGTCTATGAGAAAAGCAACGGTCGCTGGCCGGCCATCCTTGTCAACGGCTGGGATTGACAGCGAATGGCGCCGTTGGTCTGAGAACAGCATCTCGAGTCCGCCCCTATGGTTGAAGTCAGCGAGATGCGATTGGAAGGCGTCTCACGACGCAAATGAATCTGAAGTTGATCGCGATGGGATCCCTTCGGCAGGGGGGTTCCCATGTGTGAACAATCAAGGACTTACGAGAATTCGACCACGATCGATATTTTGGGCTGCTCGTGAAGAGCAACAGCATCCTGGGCAGCGGGTCCCGTCCCGGTGCTAATTTGAGAATCGACTGACATTGTGATTTGAAATTCAAGACAATCCAAGTAGTTGCAGAAAGAGTGTAGTCACGATGCAGGGTTTGTGTGTTACCTATGGGGGGTGTGTGCGGTACTAAATCTTCGATTTGTGAATATTGCGCACCTTGCATAAAATACGTTTTATGCAATAGCCCTGACTGGGGTGCGTTCAGGGGCCTCTCCCTTTTCGCCCCCCTATTGTCTCTTCTCAACAATGTGCATTCAACTGTAAAATTTGCTCGACTCTCTATTGTCAACTCTCAGAAGTTTAGAGGATACTTGGACGACTACTAGTCTGCCAAGTTATGTTCATTTGTAAACTCAGGTGACACTGCAATGAATCTTGGTTCTGGCTGGCATCGATGAAGAACGCTGCGAAATGTGATAGTGATGTGAATCGCAAAATTCAGTGAGACTCGAATCTTTGAGCGCACATTGTTCCATTGGTATTTTAGCGGGCATCCATGTTCGATTGTCACTGCAATGCATATGCCTAGCCCAGAGTTGGGAATCTACTGTATTGTAGTTCTCAAAATACAACGGTGGAACGGAAGTGCCCTCTCAGCGATTGCGTGCGAAAACGTGAAGTTTGTAAATGAATTTATAATAATATATTAATCCGATCGGGACCTTGTAGAGTTTTTTATTGTACTCTCATGATCGCCTGTGTAGTTTTTGTTATTAATTGCCCGCTTGACAACGGCACTTGTGTCTGCCAAAACGCCAGTCCTCAATTTCTCTGACCTTACGGGACATGCAGGAAGGATACATCAAGGAATGTGCTACATTGATTCCGATGCAATTGAGAGATCTGGTCCCGTCAGAGTGACGGACAACCGTGGCAGAAGTGTTCTCTTCCATCGCCGAGTCGATCAAATCCAGCATCGGCGCAGGGTTGAAACCGTAGGGGACTAGCCGCTCACACGAGACCCAGTCGAAGAAGAGCATTTCACCTGCGATCGTATCATGCCCATATCTTCTCATTCTCCTCATAATGTCGTTTCCCAAGCCAAGATGTCGCTGACTGTAGCTTTTGATAGCTTGAATCAAGGAGCCCCATGATTCTTGTATACCCATCAGTTCAGTCATAGTATTGAAGTCTTCAAGATGTGGAGTTTGTGGCTTTGGCGAGCGCTCACGTTGCAACCCAGCTTCCCAATCCCGCAGCTTTGATAGTTCGTACTCAACGTTGAAAAGAAAAATACGTCGCTCACGTGTGTTCGATCGCATAAAGATATCTGGTGCATCCATAATCTTGAGCGGGTCTTTCTTTTTATTCTGGGATACAAGCTCAAGCATGTGGATGGTTCGCATTATTGGCCCAATTGTTGAAGTTATCTTTTCTCGCCATGCTGAGACTTCCAGTGCCCTGTCAGGTTCTGCTAAGGCGTGCTGATTAGACGATACTGCCACCGACTCATCGGTAGTAGAAGAATGACTTTGGCGTGAAGAGAAGCCAGCTGAGAGACCCAGTGTTTTGCTGGCTGTTGATGAGGTCTCTAGCGCCATATCAATGTCCAAGGCAGTATCGAGCCTTTCTGAAGCTTCTGGCAGTCGGTCGATTGCGTTGTACGGTAACGAGTCAAGCTTCAACTCCAAATCATATTCATGTTCTCCATGGCTTGCTTGCCCCGGCCGAGAACCGATCAACGTATCGAAAACAGACATTTTGGAGAGCAGAGGATACTGAACCGTTCTCGGTGGGATCGAAGGCATTACCGTCTCCTGATCGGGTGGCGAGTGGGTGGGCACTTCAGATTGTACCTTTAGAGAATGGCTCGCGGCTCGCGGCTGCCATGGAAGTCTTTCATTCCTGCAGCGTGATGGTAGGTTAATGTACGTATATGGACTGAACGTATCTCGTGGGTCGGGCGGCGAAGGGCATTGATTGGAATTGTTAGATTTCGACTCCCAAGTCAGCGTAGTCGATGAGGCTGTTAAGGAGCATTAGTTGCTAGATCTGTATATTATATCACGTCTGAACGGACCTGTTCCTGGCGATTCGCCTTGTTCCATGAATCCACAATCGGACCCATTGTTGCCGCCTACATGCCCTGGTGCCCCGTCTGTGCCTTTCAGCTTGCAGTCGTCATGGGTATAGAGCAAGCCAAAGCGATACACAGACATGACTTGGAAGTCGTGAATCATATCTCCAAACCGAATGGAGAGCTGCCGTGCTTCGCACATTGATTTTTTCTCTGAAAGGTAAAGTTCGAAAGCTTTTGCTGCTTCTTCTTCCGGCTCGACGAGGAGCGCCATGACGGCGTACTTGCAGACCATAAGCATGTGGTTTCGGAGGACGTAAGTCATGTGTGAAGCGGAAGAAGCCAACTCCTAGTTGCAGAATCTGACTGTGCTCATGATTTCCCGTTCTTTCTGCACGGCGCCGACATATCAGTGTGCCGCTCTTCAATGGGCATTCTCGTGGTCTCCTACCGGTGTCCAGTAAAGGTCGCTATCGCCACCGTCGTTGCTAGGGGAGTCCGTCGACGACATCATGTTCTAGATCAACACACTAGTCGTTGTGTCATTGGTGATATGGGTGAAAAATGTGGCGGATCAATGGATCCGCGGTAGTAGACTATTTTCGCAGCAATGTATCAGTTGGTAAGGTTGAAGTTGTGATCTGGTGATCCAGAGTGAACATGTCGAGAGTCAAGATTCAAGAAGCAGCAACAGTCTCTTCTTCACGACGGGATGTGAGTGAGACGGAAAGAGAGGTGGACTGGAAAAGGACAGTAGCACTTTCCAACTGCTGGTCATGTACCCGCATTTCTGTGATCGAGTGGCATCTGATACAGAATAACTTGAGTAGCTAGAAGAGATTGCTAAGAAGTGCCGTAGACGCCTCCATTACTAAGAGAAATATTGAAACTTCATAGAGATGCCACTGGTATCTTCGCTACTGGGTCATCGCATCACATCACCCCTATACCAAGCACAACACACGTATTATGGTGCTTGAAATCATTCACGTACGAGTCTTGACGGTTACGCAAGTGCAGAATCAGGATGATGGAACCTCATCGACCTAACGTGTTAATCTATAAAGCCTCTCACGGCTCAAAGAAACCCAATCCTTTGCATCCTCAATGATCACATCATCTGCCTGTCGGACGTCTTACGCGATAAACCCACGAAACCCAAGCAGAAGATAGAGAAGTTTGCCATTGAAAGACTTTGAAGAAAATGTCAACACCATCCAAGGCCCCCGGAAGCCGAGCACCCGGATCTGCGGTTCCCCTAGGCAGCCGCGCTCCAGGGGCTACAATGGCACCACCGGGATCGGCAGTCCCGGGAAGCCGGGCTGCCGGATCGGCCGTGCCACTGGGAAGTCGGGCCCCCGGATCCGTGAACCCAGGCTTCGCGGCGCCGGGTAGCCGAGCCCCAGGACCGTCCAGCGTGCCGCTTCCTGCCAGCACTTTCCCCGGTCTGTCAACTGCCGACATGGCACAGCAGCCGCTCAGCTCCTACGTCAGGACATCGTCGACGGCGGGCACCTATGTGAGGACATCGCCATCGGCAGGCGCCTTCGGAACCACGATGCCGTCCGCAACACCAATGAGGGTCGTCAACGCCTTGTCCGTGATCCCCGAGACAGGCGCCACGACGTCTAGCATGTTCTTGCAGACCCAGGCCACCGGCGCTAGTAGACTTCCCGCAGCGGGGATAGCAGGGAGCAGGGCGCCGGGGAGCGTCAGCGCGCTCTCGGGCAAGCCCATGCCGTCTATGGTGCCGACGCCGGGCGGAGGGTACATGGCGTCGGCGTGGACCAAGCCCGAGGACCTGGAGGCGGCGGCGGAGCACCTGCAGTATCAGAACGCCAGCGCCGAGCGGAAGAAGTATCTGGACATCTGGGCCATGCAGAAGGCCAGCGAGCTGGCGCCGTGCCCGGCGGGCTACAGATGGCGCCGCCATCCCTCTCACCCGGGCTACTTGTGCGCCGGTGGTGTAAGTTGTCTACTCGCCCCTTCTCGTGTTTCCACTTGGTTTCCTCTGTGGTGTTCTGCTCTGCTCAAAGCTATAGAAATCCTCCTTCCACAGGCGCCGAAGGAAGAAGAGAAAGGTGTGACTGACTTTTCAGAGATAGGCGCACTACATCCCCGATGTCATGGTGGTCGAAGGCTTGCCTGGTGTGTACACCGTGAGTCGACCACCGAAAAAGTTGATTGAGGATATGACCCCCCACAAGAAGGAGAATATCCCCAACAGTTATTTCGGCCCCGTGCGTCCCGAAGGTACTGACATGAATGGAAAATATATCTATCCATTCTGGGCGTAGAGCGCCACAGTCCGTCGCCATCGGCGTCATCGGCGTTGAAGCTGGTCTTGATGAGATCTACATCGTTGTGCCATGTGCCTGCTTATCAGCCACGGTTACGGGAGACACAGAGAGAGAACGTAGCTGGATGAACAAAGAAGACGACGACTTGAATTGGATGGTTCCCTGCCCGAGGCTCATGCTATAAAGGTCCTTAATTGCCCGGCCGCTCGTTGTAATGTACAAATGAACCCTCTGCCGCCGGACGTGGAGGGTCGTTGGCACTTGAAACAGCAATAAATGTGACACACTTCTCTTCTCGCAGGAGAGCCCGTAGGATAACTCCTCCACTAACACTGGAACCCACCTTACCTGATTGCCCGTTCCTGATAGCGGGCCCACCCAACCACTCACAACGCCAGGTTGTAGCTGTACTCGTCCTCCATGTTCTGGCTGATCCAGAGCACGACGCTGGACAGGCCGACGAGGCCGTTGGCGACGACGTTCTCGACGCCCATGCCGAGGGCGGGCCACTGGACGCTGGGGACGACGAACTTGAGGACGAAGACGGTGACGCCGCCGGCCATGCCGCCGGCGAGGGCGGCGAAGCCGAGGAACAGCACGACGCGGGCCTTCCAGGCGACGCCCGAGCCCGAGTAGCTGAACGAGTCGGCCGACAGCCGCGCCTTCTCGACGCTGTTGATGATCAGCATGCCCAGGGCGCTGAAGATGAGCGGCAGCCAGTCGACAAACGTCACGTGCACGTCGGACCCGTTGGCCGCCGACTTGGACCACACGGCGGCGTCGAGGAGCACGTAGAAGGCGAGGGAGAACTGTTGAGCCGGGGGGGGGCGTGTGTCAGTCAATCTGCGTGGTGGTCGGGATTCCGGGAGGAACCGACGGCGCGAGGCCGCGATACAGGAAAGCATGCGCCCGGGGAAAGACAGGACTTACCAGAGCACCGGCGCCGTAGACACCTCCGTTGCGCACCCAGGCGCTGTTGAGCCACTCCGGCCGGCGGAACTTCCAGAGACGGTCCTCCTCCATGATGTTGGCGGGTAGGCTGTGTGTGGGCCGACGGTGCGCGCAGCTCGCTCGCTCTCTTCGCGGTATCGAGAATCAGACGGCAATAACGGGCCGCACGTGGTCGTTTGCAGAGTCTCGAGGCAGTGGTGCTGGGCCGCGGGTGAGAGTCGGTCGGCGCAGAGAAAGCTGGTTGTTGTCGTTGTCGGCTTGGCTGGAGGGAGGGAGCTAGAGGGAGGCTGAAGCTCTCATCAGCTGGTAGCCGCAGGGGCCTGGTGTCGCAGCGGACGGAGAGGCCTGATGACGACGCGGCCTTGGCACGCTAGCAGCTGTCACGTGCCACCCCATATCAAACCTTCCAACCTCCAAGACAAACCTACGCTGATGTTCTAGGCAACACCTTTAGAGCGTTGGGGTGTAGATGTCTTCAAGCGGTCTACATTATACAGTATCATAGCTCAGTCCCCAAGCAGATAGACCCGCAGTCTGACGCTCATACCATGCATTCGTCATAGGGCACGGGATGCGCCAAGGTTCAAGAGCAGACATTGAACTGAAGATGTATCGTATTATTGGGGGGCGAAGCCCCTGATACCTAGACCTCTCCAATCGAGTATTTCTGGCATGCTATGCTCTTGAATTCACTTGTATCACCTGTGTCTCGCCCTCTTGGCGCTGAGACTATTGTACCGCCCCCCTCCAACGCCTTTGTGTGTAATAACTCATGACTCCGTATAACGCCCTCAAGATGGGAAGCCGTGGCTCGCCCGCTCCCAACTCATTGCCTGCTGGCGCATCCCCGAGCGCAGCGTCATGGCTCATCATCTAATTAGCTGCTGCCCGCCTTGCAGCCGGACTAAGAACTCCTCCCTCTCAAGAATGGTGGCGTGGCGACCGATTTCAACACCCCTGCAGCTGCTGCTGTGACTGTGATGAAGCGTCGGGAGAAACCAGTACGGGCCAAGAGTTGAGAGGGTGGCGGCGCGAGGACAAGATATTAGTACAAGAACAGAATCGAACCGCTGATTCCTCTATGCTCCCAGAACTGGATAGGAAGTCGACCGTAATGCTGCTGCTGATTCTCTCCATGGCGGCGAGAACGTCCCCAAGTATAGCTCAAGTCAAGGGCTCTCCAATCATTGCTTCCAATGGCCGCCTCTAGACTGAAAACAAATTATGCCGGTCCCTTCTGGCATGTCGTAGATGATACATCATGCAGGTAGGAGGGCCTGGGATCCAGAGATCCAACCAAGTCAATCGACGCCTCTGATGCCGCAACTCGTACCGAGTCCGCTCAGATCTCGATCGTCTTCATGCCTTCCTCAACCTCCTCGGTGTCCTTCTTGTCCGCCGGGGTGGTCTCTACTTTGACATTCTCTTTGCCTTTTCCCGCGTCGTCGCCGTTGGGGGCCTTGTCCAGCAGCGAAGGCTTTGCCTCATCCGCTGCTAGGGGGGTTTCGACCTCGACCAACTTAGCCGCCGGGAGTCCGTTGGTAACGAGGGCTGGCTCAATGAGGGCCGACGTGGTGCCTTCCTCGGTGACCCTAGCCAGAGGACTCGACTTGCCATAGCCCGGGCGGTTGGGGCTTACCAGAGGTGAGGGGCTGCTGAGTCTGTGGAGAGATCTTCCACGGGCCTCGCCGTTCGTGTCGACTGGGCTCGCGTAAGGAGAAGCCGTGGGTGAAGCAGCGCCCTTTCCAACAACCATGGATTTCCGCTTTGCAGCAGCCTTTGCTCCACGGCCATGCTTCTGGTCCATTCTCCATCGCAGAATCTCGAAATAAGCAGGTTCAACGCGGTTACTGTTAAACTCGCGCAACTTCAGCTCGTTGGAGTCCTCGTCGATGAACCATCTACCGCTGTTCAAGTCGTCGGCAACCAAGGCGATGAAGTGAGCCCACGACTTGGCTACGACGTACTTTGTATCGTAGTCACGGCCAAACAGGATGATCTGACCCCAGGTACCGGCCGGGCCAGGGGCCAGATCCACAGCAAGGTTGTTGCCGCCCCAGTCGCGCACCAGGGGAATCCAACCCGGATGAGCATAGACTCTCTGGATGGCGCCCTGGGGCACCGAGTCTTGCTTTGCCATGAGTTCTTGTCGCCAGGTCGAGCCTATGGATCCCGCGTCTGACCCGGGGCCAGACCTCGAGGACGAAGCGTGGTTGCTGCCGCCACCGCCGAAGGCCTTGGAAGGAACGGCCGGTTTGGCGACATTGGTGTCCAGCAGGAACTCCTGGTTCACCTTCAACCACTGGTCCCTCTCCTGGACAATCTCCTCGCAGTCCAACAGCATGGAGCCAAAGATGATGCCAGTTGGTGTGCCACCTCGCTCCTGACCGTCGTGGACCATCAAGGAGTCTCTAACGTCCTGCGGCAACGAACAGTCTAGCTGGTGTTCCAATTCGTTCATGTCATTGCTGGTTGCGCCTTCGCAGAGCTGGTCGTAGAGCTCGGGGTAATTCTCGTCGGCCCAGTTGTCTATCCGCTGCCACGAGTGGCCGACAGGAGGTGCGGGGGGGAGGCCATCGGCGAATGACTGCATGGGAATCTCGCCTGGACTGGCAATGGTTTCGAAGCCATCGGCATTGGCGCCTTGCTTTGCGTGGAAGGATCTCAATCCGGGGGAGTAGGGCCCGTTCGACCCGGGGCTTGTGAGAGAAACTGGGGATGGTGCAGGCATACCGGCACCCATGTAGGCCGTGGATGTGTCGACTGACGACAAGCGGCCGGTCTCGTCGGCGTAGGGGGATGTGATGTCGGCGCGCGATTCAGAGGCCGTGGCGACCGATGTGAGTGTAGATTGCCTGTTCAGCGGCATGTGCCTGCCTGTCCGGTAGGGGGAATCGTAGCTGGAATCTAGTGATGAAGTCTGTCAGCATGCATGTCCATATACTTTTCCGGGAGTTGGGCGCCGGTAGACGTACGACGATCGTTGCTGGTCATGGTGTGCCAGAAAGAGCGGAAAGCCGCCCCGAACCTGCACGAACGCGTCTGTTTAGCATCTTGGCCAGCGCCTTGGGGATGAGGTCGTGGAGGGGCCAACTTACGATTGAGTCATGGCGGGCTAGAGATTATCTGCGCTGCTGCTAGAGCGGAAGATGGTGGTCCTCGATGGAGACTTCAGCGCAGCGCCGCCGTCGGTAAACAGACGAGGTGCGGAAGACAATGCGATCGCGGTCGACCAGAGAACAAAGGGGGGGGGGCCGAAGGTCGAACGGGAACAATCCAGGCCGCAAAGGATCAGGGTCCTGGTCCTGGGTGCTGGTGCTGGGTGAACGACCAAGACGCGTGCTACACAGCAGAAAGGGGGCTTGGCCGGAAGGAAGACGGGTGATGGCGAGGTCGAGGGGGGTGCGCGCGGTAACGGGCGACGGGTGACGGGTGACGGGTGAAGCGAGTGCCGTTCCGTATGTGTGTAGTCGGTGAAAAGCAGCGATTGAGATGTCTTGGGTGACTGGCGCCGTCGTGACCAACGCAACGAGAGGAAATTGGGCCGGGTCGGTCCAGGACGACAAGCGAAGGGATGATACAGAAAACGAAGTTGCTAGTCGGGTGCGTCGTCGGGTTTTTTTCCCGCTGATGGTCGGCGGTGGTTGAAAATGACGGACCGGCGGCAGAAAGTGGCTTTCCAGTCTCCAGTCAGGGAAATCGAGCCTGGTGGAGAGAGCTGAGGCGACTGATCTGAAAGCGCGTGTGCTCTCCGGCAGTGCCCCCTTTGAGGCCTCAGGGCCTAGAATGACGCGCAAAAACGGGACGGGCTAGCCCCCTAATAAGCTAGCTGCTGGTAGCTGGTCGCTGGGCCCCCCCCCTGTCCGCTGTTCACCGTCCACTGCCCACTGTCCACTGTGGCTTTCTGTGCGGTGCGGTTCCTGGTGGTTCCTGTCGGCGCGCGCGCATCCAAGCAATGGAACGGAACAGACTCGCCTTCCCCACACTGGCACATGCACTGGGCTGGGTAGATGGCCGGGTGGCCTAAGTTTCACTATTAACCCCCCCAGCGGCCGTCCCTCTTTGAAGATTGCTGGCTTTTCAACTTCAATGCTCCTCTCCAACGTCTGCGTCCGTCGTTTGTTTCTTTGTCTCTTTCTCGTCTACTGGGTATCATGGGCGGTAGTGGCACGGACACACGCACGAACGAACAAACAAACGAAAGAAGTACGATCCAAGGCCTCGCTCGAGTCGAATGCAGGTGCTGTTGCCTTGCTGCAAAGAGAGTAAGCGGTGCGGACGGGTTTTAATTTAAGTGATCTCCTGCCCAATGCATGGTTGCACACCACGCCCATCCCTCACAGTATGCATTCGGCTTTAAATGGAGGCAAGCGACGGCAGGGGGGACGGGGAAGGGGAAGCAGGGACATGGGAAATGGCATTTGCGCCCTGGGCTGGGGAAGGGGGTTCCCGAATCTCTCATCTGCTTCATGACGGGAAATAACCCGTAGACCCCTGTTGCAAAGCGTTCAACAATCTCACAGCCTACCCGTTTCTCTTCTCCCTCTTCTCTTCTCTGCCCCTTGCTCGGGACAACGTTGACCTAGGTTGGGTATCAGATACAATTACTTGCCTGCTGTGCCTTCCTGTGGTTCATTATCACTTCCTTCTGCGGGCCCTGCATAGGTCCTGTAGTCACTAGTCACAAGCGTGGACTGGCTTCAGGGGCTGCTCCAGAAATAGATGGACGTGATTAGTGCCGACGGAGCCCACCCTGACGGGTATCGGCCTGGTAGATACTGCACTATTACTATGTAGGTATCCATGGTTGCCTCTCGGCTACTATGGTAGTCTATCGCTCTATGCTGCTGCGTGGTGCCTCAGTCCAGAAGTAGCTTATCTGTTTATGATCAGAGAAATCCCGCTGTGCCTCTTCAGCACTGCCAAGCGCTGTGGGCGGCTGATATCCAGAGGAATCCAATGTACCTTCTGTACAGTAATGTGGAAATCAAGGCTTCTGCGCGGTGTAGTTACCCCTGTCGACACCACGTCACTGCTTAATCACCCCGACCTCACTCCACCTCTCATTTTCCTCACCCTTCGAGCTTTGTCCTCCGCCAATTTCAAGGACGTCTCTCTCCTTACTCTATAAACCCCTATTGTGGAAGCGATCACCTGTCGAGCATGGTAGATGGCTCTCCGAAGCACAACAACGCGCACAATGCCGCCAAGTCGGCCTAGCACCACCAATCGAAGGCCAGGCATTTTGATGTTTTGATTTTGCCCCATTCCAGCCCGTTGTTCCTGGAGCTTGATTTCCAAGCGTAACGACAACGGCGCCATGAAGCCCAGCCAATCGTAGCCATCGAATTGGTCCCTTGGAAACGCCACATGGGAAGCGCCTCCAGGCGCCATATCTGGGCCTGCAGCCGCCGCAAAGCTCCCAAGGAACGCTGTGGCTTCAAACCTTGCTTCCTAGGGAACTACTGGCTGGACTGGACAGTTCGAAACCCAGGGGGCGACCTAGGTACTATGGTATTGCGGAACTGCAGTCGCTGAGTGTGCTGCTAGCATAATGCAACCAGGAAGCAGACCGTGACACCCGCTAGCCCAGCATCGTGACTGACTGCCGAGCGACGACGTCAAATCATCACCAAATCGCCACCGACTAGTGAACAAGACCGCCCGTCGTACCTGGTTATCTGACCGCCAAGCCATCTATCAGTTTGGCCCATTTGAGGCGTCCGATTGAACTGCCTTCCAATGGTCTTACCCAACACTTTTGGTCAAGCGCTGAGCCATATCAGGCGCGCTGGCCAACTGGCTGATTTTGGAAAACTGCAGGAATCAGTGGCGAAACTCGTTTTCGTGAAGAGCCTCAGAATCAGATCTGTAGCTTGTGTGGAACCCTATCAGTATATGACGGTCGCATGCATGCTGACCCTGCACCACTCGTTTCTGACAAACGTACTACGGGCGTCATGAGACGGATCAGCCCCCCCAAAAAGGGTTGCGGAGGCGCTGGAGCTTGTGAAAGCGCCAGGGAGCTTCCCAGGTGCCGAACAATTGTTTCTAAGAATACGCACCGCCACATCTCCTTGCTGCAGGTCGGTTTCCAACTAGAACAAAGCGACGGACGATCCCTTTCGCCAGTGATAACTTGAGGCGCATCGCGCATTGCGCCTCCCGGATGTTGTGAGAGGACATACAATCAGTTGATTTTTGTTGGAATCTGTGAGTTGAGCCCACCGGGCCATCTCATCCGACAGATGCCCAGGTGCGATGGTGACACAACGTAGACAAGCTGACATGTTTGCTTGGATCATCAGCATTGTGGTACTATATGACAGGGTCTTCAATACTTGCATCTGCGTGCTGACGACGAGAAGTAGCCGAATGTGCCGGAGGTAAACCATGGTTGCTAGCCATCACCTCGCTGGATATACCACAGTATTGCGCTTCAAGTGTGCCTATCTAACATCGCTGTCTAAGAGTTCCTTGGCTATCTGAAAAGGCTTATGACAACCTATCGAATACAGCGGGTATTGGTCCACACATTGCTTGGCCTTTTCTCTGATTAAATGCTAGCCACGAGGAAGCGCAGCACCAACACGCATTCGCAAAAGGTATCGTGACCTCTCGGTCATTCCGTTTTCTGAGGCGCTTGTGTATTGTACGACAGCGTGGCACAGGGCAGCATGCCCTCAAGGAGCAAACTAAGGTGGGAAGTAGCTAGCGCAAGCCACGCCGCCGTTGAAGTGAATGTGTACCTGCATAACTTCGTGTCTTACACCGTTGTACAGCTGACAGCATGAAGCCCGGCCGTTGCGGTACTACACGAAGGCAGGAAGGCTGGGGAAAAAGCAAGGCGCGCAGGACCGACTGCAACAAGCGATGGGCTAATAACAGAGTATTCGCCAGCAGCGCCATCGTTGCGGGACAGGTTTATGAATCAACCTACGGTAGCAGCCCTTTTAGAGCGAGATTGTTGTTCATCTTGGAGTCGTATACTGAGACCTCTGCCAATCTGGGACTCAAAGCATACATATATATCATTAATACATATCATCCAGCGCTGTGCGTGCAAGCGGTGCCAGCAGCGTGCTATCCCTACAAAGTTCCACAGGCTCCTCGTCTAACTCTGCCACATATACTCGCTCAACGCCAGCGTCTTCTCGCCCATCTGCCTCTTGGCCGCCGCAGCGATGCCGCGCTCCGGGTTCGCCAGCTGCTCGCTGTAGCACAGCTCCACGAGGGCCCTGAGCTCGTCATAGGTGAACCTCTCGGCCTCTGGTACAGCCTCCCGGTCCTTGTCGGCCTTGGCCCTCTCCACAATGCCGTCGGGGCCGGCCTCGAAGAGGTCGTAGTAGTTGGCGGCGCGGGCGAGGTCCACGCCAGCTTCGATATTCTTGAGGTTCTGCTGCAGGACCAGGATGTTGAGCTTCATGCGCTGGCAGCCGCTGGCGTTCATGGGCTGGGTCTGCAGCGCGTTGCTGACGAGATAGCTGTTGATGAGCAGGCTGAGGCCGGTGCGCATGAAGCCGATCTCTGGCTCACGCAGGAAGCGTACCGTGGTCTCGTCGTACGCGACGAGCTCAGCATTGAGCGAGAGGATCTCTTGGTCTGGCTCCTCGATTGTCTGATCAAGGGGTAGCACATACGGTGCGGTCGCTGGGGAGAGACAGGCCGCCAGAGAGTAGACTATGCGGCAACGGATCTCCATGTGCAGGGTCAGGAGTACCGTGCCAGCCAGTTCCTCATAAGCGGAAACGATGCTATCAAAAGATCTGCGGAATGGGTTAGTTATGTATCCACGGTAAAGGTGTAACGGAGCATTTTTACACAGGAAGGGTACTTACTGGACTGTCTCCTGTGTCATAGGTAGATACACAGGGCCGTCTGCCTCACCAATCGCCTTGTTGGCGTGGTCTAACAACGTCCAGCGGCGGTTCTGATTCTTAGGAAGAGTAGGTCGCGATGAGTCGGTGTTGTGGTGCGTGATGTGTCTCAGGCCGACAACCTTGACAGAAAGCCACTTCATGCTAGTGTATAGCAAGCACAGCGATGAAATGACATCGCGATCTTGAATAATGTCGCTGGGTCCCAAGGGTTGCTCATTGGTCTGCATGATCAATAGACCGACCTCCTTTTCTATGAGCTCGGCATCAAGACTATCAGACGTCCACAGTTTTTTGATAGTCTCCTGGAGGTCTCCCTCAGTGGTGGAGAGTTCGGCAGAAAACCTCAGAGACTGTGTCGCATTGGCTCCCTCTTGGGCCTTAGCTACCAGTGACTTATACCAGGCGAAGCAACGCTCGTAATATCGGTTCATCTGTGAAATGATCAAAGAGCTGAGAGCTTGGTCGTGTGGCAATGTGCCAAGCATACGGCAGAAGGCTGTAACCACAGTGAAGAACTGCGTGGTCCCTTTGAAAATGGCTCTCTTTGATACCAGGTTCCAGTCTGGATCCTGCTGGAAGGTATCCACCTCAGCGAAGATGTTGTCGCTCAATTTGGCCAAGGTTTCATCCAGTTGTGGCTGAAAGACATTGACCAGGAAGTTGTCCAGGAATGACGTGAGAGTGCTCGCGGCTAGATCCGATCCAGGCGGCACAATGACCTTGAGCCTTTGCAGAAATACTAGAGTCGGTGGTAGCAGCAAGCTCATGTTGAAGACGCTGGGCTCAACCAGAGATTTGTAAGATCCGGGAGCTTGTCGGTTTTCGAATGCACTGATGTTTGCGGTCTTCCGCGAGTCCCTTCCTGCTTTCTTATCTGCATCCTTGGACTTTGAAGAACCTGATGTGAGGCCAGGAACCGCAGCTTGTATGATACCATCCAGTGCCTCGTATTCGGTCGTCATTTCCACCGACTTTGAGTCTGCCTCTACAAATTTGAACAGGTTGTCCCTTCCAGCTTGTTTGCTGCCGTTGAGCGTCCCGCCTAGTCTTGGCGATGAATTGAAGTGATACACATCAGCGTCGGTAGTGACGTAGTTGTGTAGGAGAGACCGGATCTCGTTCTGATACAGGTTCCATAGCTCCTTGAAACTACCCAGTAGCGTGCTGTTGTTACCCGCGCCTTCGCGTTTAATGAGCCCTTTGATGGATTCGTGGAAGACCCGGTGGCCCTCCGCAATCGCTTCAAACTTGCCGTAGAGGGTCCAGAGAAGGTCGTAAATAACATCGGCTCGCATTTGCGTTTCGCGGCTGCCGTAGATGTGTAGGCCCTCCGCATTGGTAGAGCCTCCCCGGAGTGAGCTGGGATGCCTCTGATCTACCTCGTTAATAGTCTCATTGACTATGGAGAACAGCTCTACAGGCAACCGTTGCTTCAAGGTATCAACAGCACCCTCCAATCGTCCAAGTTTGTTCAGAGATTCGACCAGAAGCTGGACATACCAAAAAGTGTCTGCTTCTGGATTCTTGGCAGGGTCTTCGGCTACTGGATTCTCGGGTTCCATTGAGTCCAGCACAAAATGGAATGGTGTGATAGCTGCCTGATCTCCGTAGTTCTCGTTATTGAAGGCGCCGTGATTCTTGGATAGGCTCTGCCACCGTTCCTGGCAGTATGGTGACTTGAGGTATAGATGCTCGTGCAGCTCCTCAACCAGGATATCCATGAGCGCTGTCTCCTGGTTGGCAAGATAGCTCCTCAGGTCGCTCAACGCGCCGATGTCATCGAGCTCCGGCTTCCTGAGCTTGCGTAGGGCATTTTGAAGAACCTCAACCGCCGTCAGGAAGCGCTTCTCAGATATGCGTGCTTCCAGCTGATCAGGAACTGTTCTCAGATCTTCTAGCTCGTTGAGTGTTTGGAGTACTTCGTCGTACATCTGCGAAGTCTTGTACATCTTTTTAAGCTCCGGGTCTGACGTGCCAAGAGTAGACCTAGAGGACACCAGGGACTCTTTCAGGGACCGGACGCGCTTCTGCGAAGCCTGTATGCTTCCTTGAATCTTGTGGAAAGTACCAATGGAGCTGTTGAAACCTTGGTGGTGTTCGTGCACAATGCCCTTCAACGAGTCTTGCAGATATTGGTGCATCTCCTGAAACTTCCTGTATTCGTGGGCTCTGCCGACGGAGCTGTTGTCGAGGAGCTGAAGGGCCAGCGATGCGGGTATGCAGTCGGGCTCGCACATGGCGGGCCAGTCCATCTTGACGCGCTCCAGCACCTCGGTGATGCGTCGTTCGGCGCTGGATTCCTGTGCTCTCTGTAGCCGGGAGGATGCCGATGACCCGCCATAACTGCCGCCACCGCCGCCGCTGCCGCCGCCGCCACTCCCATAGCCAGGGCCATTGCGCGAAGGCGGCGGTCGTCTGCCGGGGGTCATCTGCTGTGGAGGGGTTCCGTATCGCTCGTTGGTGTAGCCGTCGCCCATGGCTTCGTAGTCCCCTTCCTGGGGTGGCGGCCGCGCCCGCCTTCCGTAGGAGCCGTAGCCATTGCTATCGCCGTTGCGATACGAGCCTCCATATCGGTCTGCCATGGTCGCAACTATTATGCATTAGGCAGAGTGCTGATGGTTGAGGCTATCGATGTCGCTTATGTGGCATTCTGAGCCACCGGCGGGCAGATATCGAAACCGCAGCGACGGGCACAGCTTGCAGCCTGTGTGCGCAGCGCTAGATCGTGAGACAATCGGGGCCAGCCTCCTGTGTGTCGCTTCGCCGTCTACGAGTATCGCTGGTTGCTTGGGATGAAGTTCCGTCTACGGACAGACAGATCCCAGCAAGGTTAAAGCCAACAGTACAGAGACTCGGCCACTAGCGGCAGGGGTAAGATAGCGCTAAAGCTCCAGCGCCTGTCAGTGCACGTAGGAAATGAGTGACCAATCAATTTACAAGGACCAGGTCGTTTCATCTATGTCTCTTGTTTGCTACAGCTCGCCAACCTCCATAGCTAGTGCTAGGTACATACTAGGCCTTCAGTACTTAAGTGCTTTTCTTATTATTAATGTTATTGATATTATTGAGATGTATTATCACAGTCTTTATCTTAGTAAGGGGAAACCCGCTGCAGCCAAGGGCTGCTCAAGTCAGTGAAGAAACTCGCGCCTTTCACTTTAGTAGGCGCACCCTCACTTGTGACATTGCAGTTCACCAGCCAATCGCCTTCGGCCTCATATTTATCTTGGACGTACTTGACGTAGTCACTTAAGAGGCACGACGAACCGGGGCCGTTCTTGCAAGACGGAACGGGGTAGACTGCATCGTTGAGGCGAATACGCACGTAGGTAGCGTTAGTCGACTCCTGGCGCGGATGGAAATTGGAGTAGGTCGGTCCCGCGGTGACAGTCGCCGCGGAGCCGCTGGTTGTTCTCGAGTAGTTGCCAAGTTGCATCGAGGTGGAAAGCGTCGTACTAGGCTTTCGGCCGCAACCCTTCCGTGTTGATGTCGCTGAGGCCGTAGCATTGGGGTACGTCGTTGAACCGTGGGAACCATCGGAGCCCCCTCCAGGCGAGACCCTACAGTTCAGGCGCTCAAATGCGATGGTGCCCCTCATCGTAACGTATCGTGAACCGATCCATAGCCTGTTGTCGTCCTTCTCGGTAGAAGAGAGGGGCAGCTGCTCATCGAAGACTCCGCTGCTGGTAACCAGTTCGGTAAGCTGCCCGTCGTTGAGGAAAGACATGAGAAGTTTTGGAACTGCGAAACTGGACCCGTCTGCCTTTTTACCGGTAACGTTGGGGCCTTGAGCAAACAAATCAACAAGAGAGATCAAGAATGGCGTCATCATCTTCTTCGGCAGATCAGTGCCAGGTCCGACTCCGTAATAGTATCGGAGGTCATTCGAATATTCATATTGCTTGAGCTCCTCATCCGTAAAGACATCACACCACGGTGACAGCTTGCCAGTGATGTGGCTTTCGAAGCCGCAAAGGTATGGAATCTGGTCAATGTCGCTTGCGGTCAGGGTCAGGTTGCCCTCAATTAAAGATTGCAAACGTTCCTGGATTGGAGGGATGTAAAGGCCGTCCCAGGTCGTCTTGTTCGTGCCCCCTGAAGCATCGCTGAAGTTCGGGCACATATCTGAAGGGGCCAAGGTGTCACCGATGGCTTCAGGAAAGCCTTTACTGGTGACTGAAATGACACTTCCATTAGCCGCAGCATTGAAGCCAAGAAACCCCTGGACGAATGTCTTCGCGGTCTGGAGAACTCGGGTATAGTTGTTGGCCCACACAATGAACTCGTCCCCATCTTGGTACAGATCTGGATACCTACAGAGATATATCAGCAGACGCTCTGGTCATGGATCTGTGTGTCTGACCTTGTACGAAGCTGGTAACCCAGATCGTGGATTTCCTTCGATCCTGTTGGGTTCAACATGGCGATCTGCAGTGATGGATTCGTCAAGACAGTCTTCCAACTTGGCAGAAATGACAGGCTGCCGCTAGCAGTGTAATTTCCGGCGGAGAACTTCTCAGATCAGTTTTGGGTCTTTCGATAATGAAGGCGAATACCAACTCGTTCGTGCATAGAGACCCATCCACTGTAAGCCCCAGAATCGGGGTATCTTGAACCGTGGCGAAGGACGTAGGCAGCCTGATCGACATAACAATTCTCCGGTACATCAGACGATATGCCAAAAACGTCAGGACCTGTAGCAGGGTCAACATTGAGTATACGAGCTATGGCTCCCCGTTAAGTGACTCATGAGTGGCAACACAACATTCTGCAGTATTCCTAATTGCAGAAACATTCGTACTCCACCGCAATTAATTGGACCAGTAAATAGCACAGAGAAGGGTATTCAAAGGAGATTCAGGCTAACGAACCAGCATGCCAAGGGCCGTTGGCTCCCAGCCATTTAAGGGGATCTGTTGCAGTTTCACTCGAGGGAAAGTTGATATCCTGAGTTGGCGCCAGAATCTGACCCGCAGCGGACGCGCCTACTGCGGCTAAGGAGGCTCCAAGTAGCAATGAAAACGCCATCGTGTGCTTAAGAGACGCGAAGGGTTGAAGGACTGGACGATCAAGGCAAGTCCAAACGGCGACGGAGCGAAGGCTTTGCGAAACGACCTTGAAGAGGAAAAACCCAACTCTCTGAGTACATGTCGGCGATGCTGGATATGTATACCTTGACGAACCGGCTGCAACCCCCTGTCTAGTCCATGACCATAGTTACATCGTCGTTGCCTTGCAAAGCTCCAGCCGATATCTAGAGGCACGTGGGTCGGGGAGGCTGATGCGGAACATTAGAGGAGCTACGAACTACTTGATTACGTTGTGAAGTGCCCCATAAAGCACCAGTGCATGCGAACGGTGAACGCCTAGACTCAATCGATAGGCTTGAGATATACAAAGGAAGAAGGGCACGTGTGAGACGGGATGCTTGTGGTTTGTGAGATCTTCAAAGCTTCGGAAATTGCGATGCCGGAATTGGCTGGCTGCGGGGTGGTAATCTGGACCATCCTTGCCGGTCTATACCAAGCCAAGATCTCGGGGCAAAGCGCTTCGGTTAGAGTACCGAACACCGAGTTCTGTCTAGCAATGGGTTCTCCCAGGAATAGTTGCATTCCAATCAGCGACCATGTTTTGACAAGAATTCATCGAGAGTCCCCGGGGGAGGCCCAAAAGCTTTCGGCCAGTGAGCCAGTGAGCAACGCCGGCGGCCCCACCCGGCGGCTCCAATCACCACCGGTCGTCAAATTCGGTGGCTCGCGGCCAGCACCGGAATATTCATTGTTGTCCTCTCACTCAACACAGCCACCTCAGCCTCAACAGACCATCGACGGCACCCAAAGTAACAGAACAGAGCACCATATTGCCGAGTCTCGAGCTGTACTATTCAGTCATGCCGACACGAATCCCCAAGGAGGAGGACTTCGAGAGTCTTCCCCCAGCTTTGAAGGTCATCCTGACATACCCTGAAGTGGCGGAAACCACAACCGCCATCTTGATTGTCTTCCACGGGCTTGGGGACGGGGAGGAAAACTTCTCCACCTTCGCCAAGAACACCAAGCTGCCGGGTGTGCTTGCTATCACGGTCCGCGGTGTGTCACCACTACCACCTGCATTGCTCGGCCTACCAGAATCCGAGGCATCACAACCCGCGAGGCACTTCCATTGGGGTGATGACCTAACTATCACATCCAGTTCTGGGGATCTGGATCCGGATCCGGGATATGCGAAGGCGAAATCACTAGTCATGGACGAACTGATCCGTGGCATACTGATCGAGAAATGTGGTTGGGAGACCAACGACATTCTGCTTTTTGGTTATGGCCAAGGAGGTACTCTGGCCCTGGGCCTTGCATCGAAACTCCGCGACACCGAGAAAGTTGTGGATGTCACCGATGGAGACCGGACTCCAGAGACGGCATTCAAAGGCGTTGTGTCGATTGGCGGGCCGCTCCCGTCTAGCATGATCCCGACGACTAGCAACCGGGAGAAGGCACGGACTCCGGTTTTGATTTGCCATGGCAGAGCCAGTGAATTGGTCGGGGACGAAGAGGTAGATCTCATGAAGAACGAATTCGTCGATGTGAGGGAAGTGAAGTGGCAAAAGCCTGAGGATAGAATGCCCGAGAGCCGGGAAGAAATGCTCCCTATCATGCAATTCTTCGCTGAGAGGCTAGATAGGAGCTTTTAGATTTCTCCGTCATCATGGACCATAGACTCGCTTACACACAGTATCATGTCAAGTCTAGGTCCATATCGCAAAGGCAGTGTAGAAATCTGTAGCGTAGAGGCTTCCAAGGCATGTTGGCCTAGGAAACCTGGGTGCTTGTGGGTTGTATGTTTTGGCAAGCATCTCCTAATGTCTTCACGGGTCGGCGCTTGTCTTGTTACAGCTCCAGTCGATCATCGGCGGCTGAATGAGCTTGAGAAGTAAGCGACGTTCCTGATGCGGTTGTTTGAAGTATTAATGCAACCGGTTCGACTCTGCCCGTGTCCCGAGAAACCTCTCGTCGATGACAAATCCGCCTTCATCGACCTAACACTAGGATTAGTTACTGACGGTGCCCATGTGTGCCCAGAATTCGAAATATTGGCGGAGTAGTGTTCAGTATGAACATCCTCATCTGGGGTTGAAAATGCTATTAACACCACTCAATGTTTCACGTTGCAATCAACGTGGAATACAATCAATGCTTCATATAAAAGGTGCCCACGTCAACATTGAGAATGTAAACCGGTGTGAGATACCAGGCTGTCATATCGATACAGCTTGCCAAGTAAACCATGTAGGAGTTGCCCTAAGCAAACGAGCCTTTCGCTACGGAAAGGAAACCGACGTGCTCCCGAATTACGTTAGTTGTACGCCGTGGTCATAGACGTTCTAAACCATCCATGGCCTAACCAACTCCTACTTCTAATTGATATCTGGACTCAGACTCCAGGCTAGTGTCTTCATTGCTGAAACCCTCCCCAAATGCGGAAAATCTGTAACAGGATTAGGACGATCGCTTGCTCATCAGCGGGACTCTAAATCAGAAGGAGCCTATTGCCGTCGAAGCATGTTTCCCACAGACTCGGTTCGGTTTCCAACCTCAATACTTGTTTCCACACTGCAGTTATGGCATTGGTATTCCTACCGTGAAACTATATAAAGAGTAGTCTTATCACATACCTCGAAGGGGGTTTGGATGTAAAGTTCGCTCCTAGGGACAGGAGAGCAGAGCGATTCAGCAGATGAGTTAACCTCGTAATTGCCAACCAAGGATCAGACGACATGTAGCCATTTTTTGTCTGTGGCTACATTATTGCCATGTTTCAGAAGCCCCAAACAACGTCCCGAACGGCTCCTTCTAGTGAGGCAGACTTATATTGTTGGGTTCTCCATCCAGAGGTGACTTGCGTCTCAAACAAGACTGGAGCTGATGGACACAAAAATTCATCAAAGTACGCGCCACATAAAAGATATCATACTGAAGTGAGGTTGCTTCTTTTGGATCATGTGATTGCCCTATCCTGCAAGCCTTTATTGTGAAGATAACACAGTGCCTCCTGCATTGCACTGGCATTGCTCATGTACGTAGCCCGTGGAATGTATGTTTTCTTCTTTCACAATCAGTGGTTAGTACCGCTTGGTCGCGTTCGATATATTGTGACTGAACATCATATATTTGCGCCGTACATCTGATATAGTGCTTTTTTTTTTCTTCACCTGGAGCCATGGGTTTACGCCGCAGACTCTTGGGTAGTGGCATCTAGGCTGTTCGTTTGTGGCCCATTGCCGAGATCATTCCAAGCAAGCCCTCCTCGCGCCAACGCTGTCGTTGGCATGTCTAGCCCTCGTCTCGAAACTGCAAGCCACAAGCTAGCGTAAAGTTGTGTAACATACATGGCCCAAATCTATTTACTGTGCGTGCTTACTTGTTATACGCAGCAGGCCGTTCTGCGCTAGGCTGGCGTCACACGGCCCAGCCCAGGTTTGTCCTCCGTCTCCTTTGAGTGTCGCGGTAAATCAAACGACCGGCCCTGAAGCTATCCGCAAAGGTAAAAGCATCGTCTGCTACTGCGCGGCCCGTTCCCGGCACGCGCTGGCAGGAGAAAGACGCCAGGCCAGGAACCGCACGCACACTCTCGGTGGGAACGGTAGCCAAAAGCTAAGTCGTCACTATGACCACAGGCAGAGCAAGGAGTAGCGACACGAAAGTCGTAACCTCGAATGTCCGGCTGCTGGCTTCGCCCAGCACCTGCAGCGTGCCGCCGACCCATAGCATGCATGCTGCAGCTGGCCCAATGCGGCAGCTGGCCTAGCAGGTCCGGTGAGTTCCCAGAGGAGCGGGCTCCGTCCCCACGTACGATGAGCCCACTACATACCGGTCCGCGCATCGCATGGTGGGAGAATGAACACTGTGCCGCCTCGAGGAGGGCAGACGGCTGCACGCGTTGTTCTGAGTAGTGACACCCCTAGAGGTGTATAATGCTGATGACCACATACTGGGCCAAGATCAACGGAGCTGAACGACAGATCTTGTCTACAAACCGAAGCTCGCCAAATTGTGCAGCTTGCTGTGCATGCATGAAAGCCACTTGCAGCCTGCTGGTCTTGTGCCTCATGACTAGAAGCTCTTGCAGCCGCAGTTACTCCTGCATATTCAAGCAGATGCGAAGCTCCTCGTTCGACAGAGCTCCGTTGATCCTGGCCAGGATCGTGGCATGATATAAGAGGTACAATGACTCCCAGGCCTTCCATGATTCTGGTAATCGCTAGGACTGCACACCATACTCGAAAGATTACTCCTTGAGGTGCGCGGGGGAATTCCATTCTTAATTCGCACTATAGCATAAACTGCGGAGTAGAGTCTGCGGATGTGACATGTCGATTTTGGCCATTCCGGCTACGATGACAGATACCATGTTTGCAAACGTCATCAATGCAGCAGGCGTCTTCATCTCTTCTACTCCAGGAAACGGAAGGAATTGTCAACTTGCTGCCTTCTGTTGCCAGAAATCCAAAAGCAGCATTTCCTTAATGCTAGCCCGAGCATGTAGCTAAATCGCGATCCCTGTCGCTTGGCTCCATCTGATTGGGTTGCTTGAAAGGATAGAAACGAGACTCGCTCGGCCCCTGTTGACTACCTTTAGCCCCTGTAAAATTCGAACCCTTGGTGGCATGATGCGGAATAAAGCCGGAGATCAGACTGCAAGAAGCGAATCAAGCCAGCCGCCAGCCATGTTGAGTGATGTGGCAATTCTACAATGATCCTATCATATGTATGGACCAATAGTGTTGGCTTCGTTGAGCCCGTTCTCGTCTTTCGGACCATGCTTGTTAGTGCAGCTACAGTAATAGTGGCACGACTTTTGTCTCCGTAGGTAAGCAATGGGAGAGGCCATGTGGCTAGCTGATGAACATTGTGCAGGCAGTGAAGAATGTAAATTCTGAAACGCCTTCGGCAATCATCCTGATAACTTTTCTTCACCTCTGTAGTAGCCGAAAGTTGAGCACCGACAGTATAAATCAAGAGAGGGAGAATAAAAAGAAACGGCACGGTTGAGTCTGCCAAAGGTGACTGCCCCTACTGGTTGACTTGAATCTAAGCTCAAGGACGAGAACTCTGATGGACCGGATTGCATTCACTTCGAGACATCTTTGGACAGCGACCATTCGAATTTGCTGCCAATATGATCATACTGTGAACGATTGGAATCATACTGCACAGCCATACGCTGGGTAGATATTCAGCTAACATTAAATATACCGGCCTTCGCTTACCTGGAAGAGGCCCGGGAATCTAGGGACCAGTGGCGGTCGAGCATAAACCTATGTCCTTGCTAGGTTTCAGCAGCGGCCCACGTGTGGGAGCTTACACATGATGCTGCTCTTTCGAAGTTTGCGTAGCCCCCAAGTCTTGGTATGAAAGGTATAGAAAAGCATACATCTCGGCCGACAAAAACAGTACCTCAACAAGCGGATACCAGCAGCACGCCACACCTTCTTCTCACAGGGCACCAAGCAGGTCTTACCATTGAGTTACATCTATTGGAACATATAACCGGGCGAGGTGAAGTCTTCTTACGACCCAGAAGACAATCCATGTGACTGGGCTTCGCTGAAGTGCTTAAAGGCTATGTGTACTAGGCCTCGAAGTCAAACAACAGCCCAATTCTTTGAGACAATGTTGCGGCTCTGGTTCTAAACCTCGTACTAGTCGCAGTTCAGCTTTTCAGAAGTTGAATGTGTAACGCCGGAAGTAGATTTAGCAGTCGCGCCGGAGCAGGCGTGTCCCACTGAGGGTCTTGGAGAACATGGTTCTGATTCGACCCCGAGGTTACGGTTTCAAGACACATCGTTCGACTCTTGCGTACTTTGTTCATTAAAGATGTAGACGCTGGAAAACATGTCACTACCCGAGCCCTATAACGGTAGCTAATATGCCATACTCGGATGTAGCCCGAGAGAAAATGCAAGTGTAGGCTCCATGGTCATATGATCATCAATGATTGTTCACTGACCTTTCGATCGTGGGCCATCTTTTAATACGGTATCTATTAGATGGTCCTCTGTTGTTGTGGCTGATGTGCTGTCCGACGCCCGACTTTGACATCAATTACCCCAAGCCAGGAACGAGGCAGCTAACGCTTGTTGAAGGCACGTGATTGTAACGCACATGTATTCATACCAATCAGACTGGGACTATCCAGCTAATCGCGAGCACTAATAGTTTCTTTTCGAGCCTTTATTGTGGAAGTGTTGGGATGGCCAAAGGAAAAGGCATACATACCAAGTCTGCAGTGCCTCAATCTCGAAGCTGTGATGGGTAACAGCCCATTGAAAAATCCGGTCCGGGCTGTGTTAGAAGCAGAATGCACTCTTAGATACTTTAGGGACTGAAAATGATAGGGAAGAGGCACCAAGACAAGTGACGCCTTGGATAGTAACTAGTACCTCGATGCTTCATGGTGAAAAGGTACGATTTGACTTGATGTCCCTGAAGCATAACAGCCTGTTGACTGCATCTGCTGAGAAAGTATCTGAATGGGCTCAACTATCGCGTGGATGTGATTTGATTTGACATGATGAAGCGCAAGCCTCCATGAAGGTTGTTCAACGTTTGAACAGTTTGCGAGTGTCGACCAATGAAGCTGCAGCTTGTTCGTTGGCGCCTTAGACACGTGGTTTTGGCTGGCAAATAGGCC